CCACCCCCGCCTTCCCTCTGAGATCCCTCAGTCTGTTCCATGCTTCTATGTCTCTGGATCTCTTTTGTTCATCAGTTTATTTTGTTTATTACATTCCACATATGAGTGAGGTCATGTGATACTTGTCTTTCTCTGACTGGCTTATTTCACTTAGTATAATACTCTCCAGTTCCCTCCATGCTGTCCCAAAGGGTAAGAGATCCTTCTTTTTTTACAGCTGCATAGTATTCCATGGTGTAAATGTACCACATTTACAGCATATAAATTTCTATTACTGTCTTACTACATAGTATATTTATTGACTGCCCTTATCTGCCATAAAGTAAGCTCCATCAGGGCAAAGATTTGGTTCAATGATTTATCTCCAGAGGTGTGCCTAGAACATAGTAGATGTTTAATGAATATTTGTTGAAGGAATGGTTAGTGGTAAAAATGATGTTTCACATTTGGTGATTTTTTTTTAATAATTAAAAAGCTTTTTTACACTTAAAACTTTCATGAAAGATGGCAGTTATTTTCTATGTGGAAACTAGAGTTGATAGGATCTAAGTAACACACAAAGTCATCCTGCTGTTAAGCAATGGACTTGGATATTGAACTTGTGTTTTCTAACTCTAAGTTCTCTCTCTCTCTCTTTCTGTCTGTCTTACTTAGGTAAATTTTTTTTAAGATGCTAGCAATGCCTTTGGGAGTAAAAATTTAATAGGTGAATAGAAAAGATACCTAGAATATATTTATGTTTTCAGAAGTACACTAATGAACAATGGGGCTATCTGTACATATATTTTAGAACTAAGCATAAATTCAGCCATTTTCTCTTGAATCTATATCCTAGGTAGTAGCTGTTGTATGACCCAATCCTAACTGCCTTCTTTTGGGGAAAGAGGAGGTTAATGTTGGATATTAGGGATAAAATCATCTGTGTAATCAAAGTTTTAAAACCTTCTAGGAAGTGTACAATTACCTGAATGGCTTTTTGAGGTCTAGAGTAACACTTTATAATCACTTATCTTACAGAATTTAAAACAAACAAACAAAAAACAGGTCTGTTAAGAGTCCTCTGCTGTGACTTAGTATGGACATTTGATAAGGAAAACAAACACTTTCTCATAGAAACTGATGTTTATCACACTTAAACACTGGACATGCAAATTCAGTTTTTAACTTGATATTTTTCTTGAGCATTATTGCAAAGTCAAAACACTATGATTCATTTTCTTCTCATTAAAATAATCCCCACATTTATATTATTGAGCAATTCCTGCCCATTAAAATATATTCTAATTTTTAATAAATATTACCATTTCCCCATTGAAAACTGGAGCACAGTAATAATTTGTATTAGAGCGCTCAGCCCTACAATCTGATGGAAAGAGGTACAGACAAAATGGGTTCTCAGTAAGCTTTACTCACTATACAATCCTGACTAAGTCATTCATCTGTACTATCTTTGTTTTCTTACCTAGAAAATTATAATATTCATGGTATATGTCTTGCATACTTTTCATAATACGTTAATAATAATATAAATAATAAAGTTAGCTCTCTTTCATTGATAATCTTTTACAAGTTAGGCAATGCATTAGGTGTTTACGTCCAGGTTCTCATTTAATCATTGAAATAGCCGCATGGAATTGATTTTGTTCTACAGATAAAAGAACAGGTGTGTCTCTATCCAAAGCTTAAGCTTTTCCCAATAACATTGTAATATGTTTTTTCCTGAAAATAAGTGAGTATTCCTCAATTACCACGTGTTACCATCAAGAGGATGTGTATTATTAGAGAGGATGTGTATTGTTAGAGAAAAAAGCAAAAACAACAAAAATTGTTCAAGTGGAGAGAAAATAGCAACTCCTCCCCAAAGGAAAACTAAGGGAAGAGCCACCTTACCTCGTAAGTGCTGGTGATGCCAGACCTGTAGAAGACGGGCAGGAAGAGCTCGGAGGTGAAGATGATGACAAAAATGTAGGCAATGAAGAAGAGCATGAAGGAGGCCCCAAAGCGGTAGACCTCAGAAGGGGCCCCCAGGACAGTGACAGCTGACATGAAGCTGGCTGTCAGAGACAGCGCCACGGGACCAAAGCTCATTTGTCTTCCCCCGACCAGGAACTCCGTGGAAGTCACCTTCTTTCTCTCCTTAATAGCAAAGAACACCCCGATTCCAGAAGAGATGATAAAGAGGGCTGCAAAAACGACATAATCCCAGACTGCAAAATTCTTCTTCTCCATGCTGGGAAATATGGAACCAGAGAATTGCTTCCACCAGATCTCAGGGAAAAGCTGCTTCCGAGCGCAAAGCTCAGGAGAGCAGATGCTTTGCTGAGAGAGCAGCCTGTGGTCTGCGGAGAGGAGGGTGACCAGAGACACCTCTGTGGGTCTTCCGACACCACGTTGTACTCAGGGACGATCTCAAAAGTTGACTACTGAGAGGAATTTGGTAACGATGTGGTACCAACAGATGAGAACTTGAAATCTGCCCCTGCCCAGGAGCTGTCTGTTCCCCTACTCAAGCATATGCCACAGAGAAGGAATTCAGATGTGTTCTGAAATTAATAACCAAGCGGGAGGTGAGGGTGGG